TTTGCCTAAAAAGATCAACTATATAAATGAAACTAAGCATGTTTGCTCAGAATAACCGGTTCTCCACATCATCCTAAAGAAAATTAAGGTGAGATCACGTGAAAAACAAGGAAGAAAGAAAAAATGTGCGTGGGATCTTGGGGTATAGTGTCCAAATAAAACAGCATCCCTTTAATGTTCAAAACATGTTTAATTTAACTTCACTAAAATGAGCTGAGGACAACAATGACTATAAAAAGATTATCCACTCTTTCTTTTTTTCCATAGAGTCTGAAGTGATTAACAGATTGGATTATTATTATACCTGTAACAGTTGGCTTCACTAGTTATAAAATGTTTCAATTTGTTGCATACAGTTCAGATTTATATCACATCTTAGAACAGATTGCATATGTAAGAGGTGGGTTCACAAGTTATAAATAATTTATATCATAATATATTATATAAATATATAATAATACAATAATTATATAATAATTTCAGAGTACACTGTAAAAAGTGGTAACACGATTTTGTAAGGATTTTTGTAGCCTTGTTATCAGATCAGTTTATTAATATAAAATTTTGCACAAAAAAAAAAAAAAAATCTAAATTATCACATGATGCACATTTTATTCATTCATTCATTTTTTTTTAATCTAATTATTTTTTTGTGGGAAAGAAAAAGAAAAAGCTAAGAAAAAGCTGTGCCACTGTGAAAAAGAAAGAGTCACTTAACAGTAGTAAAATGAAAATAATTTTCCCCCAAAAGTTCATTGCTGAATTATACATCTGTATCTGTAATTTAATTTATATATACTGTAATAAATATTGAGCTGCAAAAATAATTCCTGAATCCTAGTAAGAGTTTTTTGTTACAGTGTTATTGATCTCAGAGTTCACTGGGCAGGAAAGTCATTTGTGTATTTGAATTGTGAGTAAGCATTTACAGTCTTTTTTTCAACTGCTTACACACAAAATCTTTACTTGTCACACAATTTCTGAAAGCTGACACTCAAACACCAGAAGCACACACCAAATCTGCAAAACCATACACTAGTTCTCTGCCTTTGACTCAGTTTTCAATTTCATAAAACACTTTTTGCAAAACACAACACACAATTCTCTATGCAACACACAAAACTCTAACAGGAATTAATATTATGGAAAAGGTGTGTGCAAATGTTTGCTTTTGAGATGTGTTTGTGATATTTTGAATGCAGTGCAATTTTGCAAGAGATGTGAGGCATTTTGCATTTGTGTGTGCAATTCTTGGATTTGTGTGTAAAGTTTTGAAGAAAAAAGGAGTTTGTTCTGGGTGATTACAGACATTCACACCTCTGTTAATAACAGAAAATCAAACATTGTTTTCAAAACTGATCCCGTTTCAGTGCTTTGATATTATTGTATTTCTTTCTAATGTTAGGAAAGTTTTTGTTTCTCTTAAACTTGCACTAAACGTGATTATACCATCTTAGTAGCCTATGTAATTTTAATAGAACCGCATGTCTTCTTTAGTGACAAGCTCAGAAACATGTATAACCTGTTGAAGTTTTTTTTATATTGTGCATTGACTTGGTGCCATGATGGATATTGAAATGTTGTTATTTATTTTTCATTTTAAACAGTATAGATGATTTTTACTTAATGGTAATACGATATTTGTGAACACAGCTGTGTATGTCATACCATAAATCCCCAAAAACTATGCATGGGGGCTTGCTTTGGTGTTGCCACCCCTCATAGACCCCATGCCACCCCTTTGCCACCCTAAAAACTATTTTCTAGATCCGCCCCTGAGGAAATTCAGCTTTCCCATCACAGGAATAAATTACATTTTAAAATATATTACAACATAAAGCAGATATTTTAAATTATTTCACGATACTGCTGTTTTTACTGTATTTTTGATCAAATAAAGTGCAGCTTTGGTGTCCATAAAAGATGTCTTGCAAAAACTTTAAAAATAGATCATAAATCTTAGAACAGTAGTATATTAAAGTGTCAAACTCACCATTTAATCCATCTGATGTTGGATTTGAAACACCTTTGCACGGGCTTGAAAAGCCTCCTTATGCTGTCACCCTTGAACTTATTCACCAATTCACACACGATGATAAACACGCACAGACAAGTGAGGACAACCAAAGCAACTGCCCTCTGGAAGTTTAAATAACATGCAGCAATGAAGTATGCCAAATAACCTACAATTTAAAACACAGAAACATACTGAACATCATTTACTTGAGAAGTGACTCACCATACCAACACGTTAAATTAAAAACAATTATAGATATAAAACTGGGAAGAGATGTTACCTGCAGCAAGTATTCCCAAAGCAATGTATTTGATTATTTTGGAGTGTGTCTTGCAGAAGGTCTCTGTGGCCGTGATGGGTATGCATGCTTTGCTATGGTGAACAATGAATACATAGCTAAAGATCTTACACATGTGAAGTCCTACAGCATGATTGACAGAATTGTGATTAACAGAATCGAAACATTTACATTTTTGTCTATATTTCTTAATTAGGATGACATTATGTCATTTCAAAGGAATCTCATTTCCAAATAATGTGATAATGAAATCTTAATGACGTCGTATTTACAGATTAGATTCACAACCACACCTTAGGCATGATTTTGACTCCTTCTCTGACTCCTCTTTGTCACTGTCACTCAGGTCATCTGTTAATTTATCCTCCTAAGAACAGGAAAAAAATCAAGATTTTAAACTTGTTAACATTTTATAGAGCACTTCCTCAAGCCTATATACCTTCACAAATGCTGGATTGTCCACACCTTGTTCATTCCCATACGAGACGGTTGTCAACTGTAAATCTTCTTTGTCCGCTGTAAAGAAAGTTTCAGAAAACTTTTTACCAGCTCTAATGAACCTTGATCCAACAATTCCTTAGGAGCTACAAGTTTCAAAACACGTCCGTTTTCACATTTCATCCAAACAATTATTAACTACTACCCACAAATACAAAACCAACATCCTTTATTCAAACCATGGCAAAAAAAAAAACACCTGTTCAAATACCAGTTTGAATGAATCTCTAAAGAATGGAGAGATAAATAAATGGCTTACTCATTCTGCGTTCTCTGTGACAACTGCTGGGTCTTGAACCTTGAGCTGGGATATATACTCTGCCCACTTGGAAATCTTATCATTAATTAACTACATACAAATGTGTTTTTATTTAAGACACTTGCACGTTGCTATCAGATTGCTAGTCAGGGATGACTACACTGAGTAGTCATGAAACAGCATCATTTTATCATTTATTGCATTGAAGCTCCTCCTTATTTCCAGAGGCAACAAAATACAAAGTGTAGAAGAAAACAAACTATCAGGAATAAAAATCGAAACGTGATGAAGGGCCTACAATTCTATGGCCGTCCCAGAGGCAGAGTCACACGCTGAACAGGTGCCTGAGAGGAGGGGCCAGTATTATCATCATTCATACTATCCATATGATAAGACAATGAGAGCTCAATGGCCAATCAAAACTAGCCCAACTCGAGCCTGATGACCAATTAAACCCTAATAGCTGATGCAAAAACACAATATAGACCTGTACTTTTAAAGAATTTTCAGATTTCCTACTATTAGTAGGTGTAGTTTAATGTAGGCAGCAATAGGGTCATGGTTTGGATTCACAGGACACGATATTTATCAGTGGGCCCCGTCCTCGTTCTTATCTACAATATCTACAGTATATCATAGAAGACTTTAATGACACCTGGTCACAGAAAAGCAAAGTTACATGTATAATTTAACACAAAATACATTTAGAACAAAATTAGTGAACAAAAACTACCAGCCTTACACAATTAGGACGCTAGATGCCACTGTTGCACATTGTAGAGATTGATTCAGTTTTCTGCCTGAATTCAGAGCACATCACTAATAAAACACACTGGCACTGGCACCAATCTGAGCATATGCTACTCCTATTAATATATGGAGAATTATCAATCTCCACTTATATAATCCTATATAACCTTTTTTTCAGAGTTTGCTAGTATACTCGAATGCATGATTTTACTGCAAGTTGTGGTCTTGTCCTTGTAAAGGCTACTATAGGACAATGCACAATATCCAGCTTTAGATCAATTTGATTTGATTTGATTTTCAAAATTATGTAAAATGTAGAGCCTGTCTGACCCTAAACTGAAGATTTATGATAGTATCTCCACAGTATGTGGAATCTATGACTGATGACTCATAAAATTAAATGGTGCCTAATACCTTTTAGTTAACACAAGATGACGCAGACTCGCAGCTTTATAGACCGCAGTGTGCATCACTGCATTTTATTGAAGGTCTAGTGTGTACAAAACACATTAACACATATTCATTAAGACATTTTATGTGCTTTGTTAGAGCAAGCAGTCATGATTCACTAATATCAACCAAGCCTTTCCTGCACATTTTATGTGTCCACCTCACAAACTGAATGTTGTGATTTAACTTTGTGCATAATCATTCCTGGACATATCTCGTCAAAGTAAAGGTTTTATTGGCATCTATGGTTCAGTGAACTTTCCAGTGTACAAAACATTCTTCAGATTAAAATCATCTAGGCTACAAAAAAAAAAAAAACTTTTAGAAACTTTAAAATATATTTTATCTTATAGTTAGTGTATTTGAAAAAATCATGATAATTTGTTATCATTTTGACCTCTGTTTCTACTGTCTTAAAGGCAAGGGAATTCAGCTAGTTCTCTCTCGCTCTCACTCTCTCTATGTGATTGCACAATATGTAGGCCTATTTGATCAGGCTGAAAAGACTGTTTTATGAAAATGTTTTAAAAGAAATAGTATGTGAAAAGTTAAGGTCAGTGTTAGTAGTTTATCTACATTTTGTGGAGACTACATATTTAACAGTGGAACAGTCACGAAGAATCACAGAAGTATTTGATGAACTAGAAGAGTCCAACTGTATTTGGACATTGATATAAATTGATAACTTGAAACTATTTCCGAAATCAATTATTTGCGGAATTTGACTGTTCAAGCTTTCATCGTCAATATTAGGCTACGTATTCTCAAAGGAATTGGTGTTTTTGATCATTCCAGTGATTATATAGGCTAATAAATACATGCGTTATCAGCACAAGTTAACCCCAATCCTACCTAGTCATTCCTGGGATTCGGTAATATTTCAGTTCCCCCAGAGTTTCTAAAGTGGTGGTTCACCAAAATGAATTGTTAAGCTTTTCACAAAACTTTGGTATGCCCATTATAACGAATAAAAATAATGATTGCATTTTAATATTTTTTAGCATAAAATAATGTCTTATATCTATCCTAAACCAAGCATTTTGTCATGTCCCTGAGGCACGTCACTGAGTTTGTACTTAGAAAATTATTAACAAAATGTGCATAGTGTCTGTGATTTTTGGCAACAATGTAAGTATTTATGTGTGTTCCTTTCTTGTAAAAAAAAAAAGCAAAATATTTTATAAAAACCAAGTTATGTCCCTTAGTCTGAATTCAACCCTGTCACGCTAACCATTCTACGTCCATAATAATTTAGACTCCACTCATATGTGACATCATTTCCCAGAAATGACATCATTCAGGTCTCTTTAATAGTGGTGCAGAAAATGGTTAGTAGTATCATACTTTTTTATTCATATTTTCGAGGCACGTTATAGTCAGGGAGGGTACTGTCAAGCTTAACAACTCAACCCTGTTACATAAAATTAAGATGGAAAATTATTACTTTTTCAACATTTTATTTGAATCCATAAGTATATACTTTGCTGCCATATATGATCTACTCTCCTACACTACATGAGGAGCAGTGGCCATTTTGAGTGAAAAACCACAACCCCATCACAAATATATGTATTTCTCATTGTTATGGGGTTGTAAACTTGTGACAGGGTTGAGTTATTTGCTTCATTTATTAATAATTTTAATGAAAAAATTAAATAGTCATGGTTTCAGTAAATATATATACTCCAAAATCATGACAACTCATATTTTTGTTTTAAATAGAATTTTTGATGTAATATGTCCACTTAAATGTTGACAAGCATCATACATCAGAAATTGCACCCACATTTGCAGCAGAAAGACAATGTTGGCCATGCAGATATGTTGACCCAGAAACAAGGGGACAGTATCAGAGAGAAACAAAACCAAAAATTTAAATTTAAGGCAATGTATCCCTTCAAATGTAAAAACATTATAATTAAACATTATACATTAATGTTTGCCTACAAAACCACCACTGGCTCTGCACCCATTTACCTAAATTCATTACTTCAGAGTTATGTAATTTCTTGCTGATTACTATCTGACATGTTAAGGGCTAAAACAATAAAATTGTGGTTTTAGTTCAAATTTTAAATCAAAAATATTTTTTTACAAAAATAAAGAGACCGTAGACACACAATTTGTATATTTTTAGCTTCAGTCCTATAAAAATGTGACAATTATGATAAATGTTACATTTGTTATCATTAAATTGTTATCAGGGACACATGACCAGTAGGTACATGTTTGTTTTATAACAATTTCTGTGTAAAATCCTTTTTAAACCAATCCCATTTTGTCCTTTACGGGGTTGAGAAAAAAAGGTGTCTAAAGCTGAAAAAAAAAAGGTCTTTAATGCCTGAGGTGGGAAAATATGATTTTTTTGGAGGTTTGATATGTGCCTACTGATTTAGAAGTTGAATCACATGTAGTTGAAAAACATGTATATTCCAAGTTGAAATCTTACCGAATCCCCAGGAATGACCCACATACCTTTATCTTGGCAGTTTCATCAGAAAGATATGTTTTCAGTGGATAGAATGCGTTTCTACCCTGTCAAAGTCTACACCTTAGTTTAACCTTCTATCTATAGCTCATTTGAAATAAGACCACCACCAGTCTTATCAAAAAATTATAAATTGTGAAAATTTTCAAATTTAAGGTTAAGGTTTAACACAAACCTTTAAAAAAAAGAGCCTAATACAAAAAGACGATGGCCGTGACAAATTAATTTGTGATGTGCAAAGGAAAAAAAAACACTGTCAGTCGTACGACTTTTTCCAGAATGTAATCTGTCCCATTCATATACTGTAAACAAACACCCTTAAACACGCTATATGAAATAGGCTAGTTGCTCTTGTTGTTTGTAGAAACATCGCTATTTGTCTGTGGTTTAGCCTATGCAGTATTTTTTGCGCATCGTAGGCGCGTTTGCGTCTTCTAACTGGTCGGGGATGCCGTCCAAAATGCTGTCTATGTAGGCAGCTTCTCAGGATTTCAGCCACGGCCCTTGTGTGGCGTTGAGCGGGGTCCTCGAGCACACAGGAAGGGGAGAGAGCTGTTAGCTAGCAGACAGTGGGTAACTGTAAACAACTCACTTTTATAAGCCTCACAAATCAATCATACCTTACGCTGACTTGCTCATCCATTTGCATGGCTTTTGAAAGGTTGCTTTAAACCCGTGTTTGGCTGTATACCCGCAGACTGTTCTATTATTACCGCAGGTTTGCGTTATTTACAGAGCTGCAAGCAGCTAGAGAAGCGCGCACCCGACTGTACAGCTAACGCGTCTGTCAATACGAACCGCTTTACTTTCTTCATAAATACTCTCTCATCTGTATTAACATTATAAAACATATATAAAATGACAGGTCACGTGTAACGGGGTGAAGTAGTACTAATTTGACCGTGAGCAATGTTTTTAAAGGGGTTTGTTAGCTTGGCGAAGGTTTGTTTTCTCAGTTAGCATTTGAGCAAACGCTAGCTCTTTAACATTCTCGTACGAAAAAGCTCATAACTTTTGATAAATGTAATTTTTTATTTACGTAACGCCTGTAAAAAGGTGTTTTGTCGGCCTAAAACAAATTCTCCGAGAATTTTCATGTTAAACTAATTTAGGCGAGGGTGACAGGCTATCTTAACTATACCAAGGTAAATTTGACTGGCTAAAAAAATAAAACAGGAGTGTAGTTGCCATATACAGTATTGTAATGTTAAAATACTTAGAATGGAGTCAAAGTTTACATAAGTCTTTGAGCTGGCTGGACCAGTACTATGGAAGTTCCTGGAAATGTCAGTGCAATACAGATGAAGGAGCACAACAGCAAAACTGATGGATACCAAAAACTGCTGAGATGAATTAACCAGGAATCAAATGGTGATTACAGTTAAATTCATTTTTTTTATATTTTGTAGATCCCGAATGTTAACTTAAGCTGTGATATGGTTGTATGCCTGTTAATTCTAGCATTTATTATTTTTACG